GAAATAGAGGTGACCGAAGGTTTACCAGAATCAACATCACCTAAATTTGAGCCACAAAATGAGTCCTGCTCTCAAGATTCAAAATCTGATGATATTCTGGCTAACAAAACAGAAAGAATCACAAGATCAGGCAGACGAATACATTGGCCACAAAGATTTGTACAGACAATTTATTTCTAAGTCATTTCCATACTTCCTTATTACTGTACTGTTAACTGTATGTAAGATATAAATCTATTCTGTAACTCTTTACAATAACAACCTCATTATTATTCTAATAATTTTTCTGGTTTTATTGTTACATTTTGCACAACTTTCTAAACATTTTGGTTCGTTTCAAAATTGTTAACATTTTCGAATATATACAGTTATATTAACAAACCTTAGAAAACTTACAATCCTCAATTCGGTTGTTATTCCAGAAACTCTTATATATCTCTTCTGTCATTGTAATTAACAATATCATTCCGAATATAGGTAAACTTTATTTACCTGCATTCTACGGAGGGGCTATTGCAGTGACCCATTTTATTACTCATCATCGTAGTATACTTTCACTATGTAATTGGACTTTGATTTGTTTATCACTCCAAAGATTGCGTGTTAACAATTGATACTTTTGTACTCGCTCGATTTTTGAATTTTGATTACTGCGATAATACACGATCGTATTCCTTCGCAAGTGCCTTTGGATTTACGTTGTGGATGTCAAGTAATCACAACGTTAGGACACAGTTATAAACGCGAAGAAGTACTAGGATATACGTGTACGCTAGTTTGATCAAATAGAGCAACACAACAGTTTTTCATCTTCTAAAAGCCTTTGATAATGCTGTTTAATACGATTATATCTGAGGTTTGAAGACTGAACTCAATTCTCACTAAATTTTGACTAACATTGATGATCCTATTCTTTATTAAAGAAGGAAAATCCTCTCTCGCTTAGCACAGTCCGTCGAATCTGCAAGGTCCATAAACGCATGACACCTAACCAGATTTATGAGAAAATCTGAACCACGAGAGCCATCTCTTTTACAGCTGGTATAAGTTGTTATATGTTCAGATTGTCATTTCTGAATTTCTAATCAGTAGATTTCATTGGGCCACGTGGATAGCGCTTCAACTTGTGGAAAGTTTAGTGCTGTGTTCAGGTTGAAGAGGAAATGGCATTATTCACTGGATATTCATTTGCATCCAGATGACAAGGTACATATAAGACGAAATGTGTACGCGGAGGTCGAGCATTTCTGATAAACAGAAACTCTCTAGTTGATAGTAATTATCCAGAGAAGTTCATAAAGAGATATAAGGCGGTCAGAACACGAAGACCCATTCTTCAACTAGTCACTAAGACGGAGGTGTAAATCAAGCTACCCTACATGGACGACTGTAGCAGATTAGTAACTAAACCTTAACTTAGGAATATTTTTAAAACGTGTTTGAGGCGTATCCTAAAGTTTGTGATAACAATTTCAAACTATCTAAATATGTTCAAAAATAGTTTATTACCACATTAAACGTTCCTTGGTAAGCTTTGTTTTGATACCAGGACAGATGTACTATTGTAACAACAGAAGACAAGGGCCAGGCAACAGATCGTTTATTAAAGAAAATCAACACATATTTATAGATTTTAATGTACATTATTGTTAGTAGAAAATACAGTCTTTTGATTGGTTGTTTCTCACAGAAAGTTAACCTTGCATCTCTTTGTGGCTGTGTCAGATCATCCATATGCTAAATGTATCTGCCTACGCAAAGCCTTTGTTCTCATTTTCTCGTCACCAATACTGGGGACATAAACATTAACGTCAATTACTGTCTACCAACTTTGGCTTGCAGCCAGCTCTCACCACACTATTGTTACTCCTTCATTGACTTAATAGTCTCAGTTGTTATTTGGACCTTCAGTACAGCGTTTTAACTCGACCTGTGTCTATTCTCTCAAACCTATAACACTTTATTATTTTCGTATATGTATAAACATTCCTATGACATGTACGTGTGTGATCAAATCGTTCATGTGCAATGCAAATACACTGTATGGCTGAGATAAATTACGCCTTCTGACTGTTTTTTGTTGTTGTTTGAAATCCATTAAGGGAATTAATTGCTTGAAATAGAATCAGTTAACGGGAATTGCATATTAGTTTGCCTATTAAATACATCACACACACAGGGAAACAGTATAATTTACTGGATGACGTTTCGAACACAATTTATTGTTCATAATCATATCAGTTATAAGCATACGGCTTCGAAACTTGAGTTTTATAGTTTTCTTTGTTCTCTCCTATTTGTCGTCGTTGAAGTAGTAGAATTTTCCAGATGTCAGGGTGGACAGGCGTTGAATCATTCCTATTACATGTATTTGCAGTTGATTCGATAAACAAAACTTCCGTGATCCATCTCTCCCTCCACCCTGTTTCATTAGATTTTAAAACTGTCATTTTATTCCATCCTCTTGTATAGTTGTGTGTAATTGCATGTAGTGCTATAGCTGAACGAACCCTTAGATTTCTTATCTTATTCGGGTCAACTACTCTAGATTTTGCCAGGATTTTTCGCTCTGCTAATCTGACTGTTCCTGTTCTACTACTCTGACCTATATACTGACTTGACAATCATTGCAGGGTATTAGAAAAACTAAATTGTTCTGCTTTATTGGCTCCACAGGATCCTTTAGCCGACAAAGCTTCCCTATCGTTGGTGTTGTCATTATCCTGTGCATGTTTGACATGCATGTCGTCACTAATATTATTATTATTATCACTATCACTACTATTATTATGTATTCTATTCTTACATTTCCCTACACACTTCTTGATTAATTTATCAGAGTAATTATTAACTTTCAAAGCTTCTCTTATATGCCTCACTTTCTTTCTTAGATTTTCCTTTTTACTTCTTAGTTTTTGTGTCCTATTACTTGAACATTTCACCAATCCTAACCTAACTTCTATCAGTTCGCGACATAGCACGAGCACCAGCCGATGTTATCCGAGAGTATTTGTTCTCATACACTCAGCTAAGTGATTCCTGTTGGTCACAAATTCCTACCAGAACTCCAGACAACTTTACCCTGTAGTCAGTCACTAGTAAGCATTAGATTAATTTCCAAGTATTATTTTTTTGTAAGGATTTGATTGGTTTCAGGTTTGACCGTTGGTTGATATCATTTAGAGAACCACTGAAGACCACACTGACGGTGGCGCTAAAAATCGCGTATTGAGAGAAGTTCAAACTGATTGTTCATTGGATTCTGTCCCATTGGCTGAATAGTCAATGAGCTTCCCTCTTAACCGGAGGGTGCAGGACTTGATCCTCCATGAGCTTATAGGTGCGTACTGATGAAGAGTCACAAGCAAGGAAGAAACAGCCGTATAGTACTCCGTGGTTTTCAGTGGTTCTGTAACTGAAGTGAGTTAACGTTTAAACTTCAAATCAGTCAAACCATTGGAAACCAACACTTTAGGAAAGAGTAATTCACAAAGGCATAAAAAATGCTTTATAAAAATTCACTTTCTCGTGAAGTTACAGTAGGGATGACTATAAGACTGATGTTGAGACCAACTGAGTTGATTACCTTAAACAGAAAGACCACTAGTGTTGCCTGACCGCAGAGCCGAAGGGAAAACTGGTTGGGGTAAAGCACACATGACTTGTTTGAAATGGTTTTTGGAGTTGAGTCCGTATTAAGTTATTACCGCCAGCTACCAATCGTCGCAAGGTAAGTCGGGATTTGCAACTTTCGAGATCAACATTTTTGTACTCCCCTCCCCTCTCTAGAGCGGAGAAGCAGCATAGGCGGCTTGCTAGTCATCTGAGGGAAACATCTTACTTATATTACCTACTTGTTCCTCAGTAGTAGAACTTCGACCACAACCCCTTCCCCCACCTCTACACTATGACAGTAACTGCTTCTAGTCTAATCACTATTCAAGCGACATTTCTGATATGGTACGATCTTTGGAAATATTAATTTCAAGCAGTGTAGCTCTTTATTTCATTGTGATATTCAAGCCCGACCATGGCATCAAGGTATCGGTTATAGTTTGAGAATTGTGCTTAGTGTAAAACGAAGCGGTTAGACAAATAGAAGACTCTACGTGTAGGTAAAGCTTTTAGCTAAATATATTACTGTTTTCTTTCATTAAAAAAAAACACAACAACGACATTGGAATGAAAAAGAAACATTTACAAAGTTTACGACAAATAATAATTCAACATGATATTATAATAATATCAATAATCAAAGTATAAAAAGACAGTTAGTTAGTTAGTTAGTTAATGCAGAGGCTTAGTAGCCAAATTATGAAATGTAATCAGAAAGTAGGTATTCTAAGCGACTTATTAACCATCAAACATGAATTGCACACCTATCAAGCAATAATAGTTAGTAAGGAAATAATGAAACGGCACACAATCCCCTTATTAAAGAGACCGAAAAAACAAAAAACAGCAACAACATTATCAATAAGAGCAGGACACTCCGCTTCGTTTATACAAAAAACAGGGTAAATTATTGAGAATTTATCAGTGAGTACTGTGAACACAAATAGAATGACAGATACTAGTATCAGAAAGTTTTACAAAGTAATAAATTTCCCCCTTAAATGAAAAAAGACAGAGATAGAATTCAGTATATCTTCCTTTTTCAGAAAACAAAAAAAAAGAAGAAGTTTAAAAGATCTGGGAATTACTTAGAAATCTTATAATTTTAAACACAATTTCTTTCTTTTTCTTTTCATTTTTTTAAAATGGAATGATGATAAATTCAAATTGGTGCCTTTTTAAACAGAAAGTACAGTAAAACAAAAATTGAAAAGAAAAGAGTACAATTTCACAACATGTAAAAATAAATATGGAGGTTTCTACACGTGTTGCTTAAAGTTTTTTTTCTTTTCTTTTCTTTTCATATTTTCAGATCATCATCATCAGCATCATTATCATCATCATTATGGATCATAACAATCTGTTTATTTCTTTGTTTTAAACTCTCATATAATACTACAACAACCTTCTTCACGTGATTTTCTTTGTTCCATTTGTGGTTGAGAATTTTCAGTTTTCAATTTGTAAATTTCTTTAGCCATTCCATAAAATACCTGTTTTTAATAAAGTAAAACAAGAAAAAGTGGTAGTAAAATTCTACAGTAAGCTTGTGAACTGTATACTTTCACTTTAAAAAATATAAATATATTCAGACTATTTCAGTGATAAAAAGCGCTTGTTTAGCTGTGAAAACATTGACTGAATTTCAGCATTGAATGTTGTACAGAAGTTTAACAGTATAAGTGGTATCGCATTTCATGTAACACATAAAGATAGTGAGAAAAGAGAAAAAAAGATATTCTACAGAATTCTAATAAAAAGACTGATTTCAACGTGGGAACTTTGCAAATATATGTAGCAGTTCCAGTTGCCACACCCCCTCATTGTAGCATAGCACATAAAGCAAGAAAAGAAAGTAAGGAGAGTTAAAAGAGAGAGAGAGATAATAAACAGAAACGTGAGGTAGAAAGAATAGTAATATGGAACAACAAGAGAATTTTATTGGATATTATAAATTACAAGGAGTGAATGCTTTTGCACCAGCCATTCAAAACGATTTTGAGCCATATCACTGACTGTCTCTCGCCTTCATTGGTTTTTGCTATCCCGAAGACCCCAATCAAGAAGTTTATATCTCCCTACGCGGCTTAAACTAATTGTTGTGGATTTTATTGATTGAGGAAACTATGTTTTGGTTTGATCACCACCAGGTGTTTTTCAACCTGATCCATCCATCGTCAGCAAACATTACCTGTTGTCGAGGAAGGTGACGGCTAGGGATGCATGCGTAACACATGTCCTAACCATCTCAATCGATATAACTTCACAGCCTCCTCAATTGATTTCCTCTTCCACCTACCTAGCACTTGACTGAAGCCTTACCTCAATATTACTCACCTTATTATACCGCTTAACACGGGAGATAGGATGTAGGCACGTATGATTAAAGATAGCTAGCCGACCTTTTCATGTAGTCCACTTTCAATGGCCATATATCATAGCTAGCCATAAAGGAGGACAGAGTGGACTGCTGAGCAGTACACACGCCCTTCGGTCGACAGCTAGCTGGATATCACATCTACTAAGCCAGAGAATATGTAAGTTGGCATATGGCAAATGAGCCTTCTGTATCCGTGCTGAGAATTCGTCAGCGATCGACCCACTGGGTGGTCAACACGCCCTACTACTTCACTCCCTGACTATCTTTAAGCTAGCAGTGAGTCGATGTAGTCCAGTCCTGTAGCATCACCTTACATTTGACGACAGGAGCGAATTGCATGCCAAACATACGAAGATTGCTGTCTATCAAGCTGTTCAGAAGACCCTGTTGCATTTTGTCAGTGTCTTCACGTAGGTCAGAAGACCATATCATCTGCATATTCTAAGTTGACGAAATTATTCCCTGGTGGAAACAAGTTACTCCCTGTGTTGCTGAAGTCAGTTGGTACATCAATAATGAAATTAAAGAGAAACGGGGATAGTGGTGGGCATCCGTGAAGGACACCACTGGTCGTCATCACTTAAGACGAAAACTCTCCGTAGGCTCTCACTTGGCTGGCTGCATGAGTTCTAGTAGAGTGCCTTGATCAGTACGATGTATTTCCCGGCACTACCTACACAGTCAGACATCTCCATAGTACCTCTCGGTCGACAGAATGAAATGCCGCTTTCAGGTCAAGTAATAATAATCAGAAATGTATGGGAGAAAGAATAGCTACATGGAAAGATATGAGGATTTAATCGATATGGTAGATCGCGGAGGGCGAATGCATCTTCGTTATTGATAACGAAGACTTCGAGCCTTATAACTAACAGTCTCCAGGCATTGGTTCTTAGCATGCTGAGGACTCCAACCAAGGATGGTCTACACCCTCTTACATGATTGGCTTAAAACAACTATCAAAGACTTCACGGAGTGAAGTGAGGTTTTTGGTTAACCAGTACGAATTGTTTTCTAACCCAACCCATTTGTCAGATTAGCTATAAAAAAACTCGTGGACACTTTTTGTTGCCTGCTGGAGAACAAGGTTAAGGATAAATACAGTCTAATCTTGGTAGCAAAAAACCTACTGATTAATCTAATATGTTCGTTTATTTCTGATAATCCTATACAAACTCTGACTAAGCTAATAAATAAGAAGAAGTGAGATTTAGGTAACTTTTACCTCAGCTGAAGCAGTTGATTCATAAGTTTGAATTCACTATCTGTAAGAAAAACTAAGTGAAAGTGTATGCCATATCAAACAGATTGCAATGAGGGGATACTTGTAGATTACTGTCCATTCGACTAACCAAAAGCAGACTTTCATTGGCGGCTACCTTTGCTCCATATCGAAGACTAGATGAGCTTAAAGGATTAGCAACATGGAACGCTGGCTATGTAACAACTAAAACTCGACTTTTCAACAAATATGCCAAAGAAAATGGATCGGGCACACCCTGAGGAGCAGGTTAAGTGATATCTCGTTATGCCCTCGAGTAGAGTTGGGTATAGGTTCAAGGGTGAGGAGGAGATAAGAGCCTATGGGCAGTCGTAGAACTAGCTAAAAAGGATTGTAGAGGTCAGCAATAAATGAAAACATGCTGCTAGAGCCCAATGTTCCACCTAGAACCTTAGGGAATAATGATTGAATTTCCTATTCTTTTGACTCTTTTTAGATGTTTTGTATCATGTAAATTTCCTTTCGTTATTCAGTGTCTTCTAATCACTTGATTAGAAATTCTTGTAAAATGTCTACATTTCTCTAGTATGTATTTAAAACTGTAAAGCAAGGGAATTTATGAGTTTATCCTGAAGACAAAGATCTTTATATTCGCTGCAGCTATTTGCTTCATTTTACTATTCTGTAAAGGAACTTCTGATATATTTTGAATAGAATAGTTTTTTAGGCATCATTCAGTTACGCATTTAGATTCATATAAGAACGCTGAACAAATGTGCGTGAATACTAAAAGATGTTTCAATCCTTCAACGTTGGGGTAATTGTTGTTTGAAAATCTTTTACTGGTTATTATTTTGTGTAAGTCAATTTTGTTTAAGTCAATTTTGTTTTACTCCTTAGTTGATCTAACTGAAGTGTTCGGCCTCTGTTAACATGTCGGCTCCCAGTATGGATGCTACGACAACGTCTGAGGACTAAAGTGATCTTATCTGATGAATGGTGGTGAGTTTTGGAGTTAGTGGGTGCTGAGTTCAAGTTCCAGTGAGAACATCATCACTCACTGGCGATATCAGGTACATCCAGATGACGAGTCCAAAATAGGAGGGAATGCATATCATGGATTATAATGTCAGTCAGCATCCACCTATATAAAAACTATTAATAGCTAGTTAGTAGAAAAAGTTTTCCTAAATCCAAACTCCATACTATGACATTAAACTCTCAAATTCCTTCTTTCGTGAGTTAGAGGACTTTCTGGTTTTGCCAGTCTCAATGAAGGACGTCAACTGCTTGCTGAATATCTCCCACTTCATATGTGATATCAATAAATTCTTCAAAAACTGAACAAGTCATTTAATTACTTTCCTTTTGTTGTAGACAAATAGTGATAAGTGTGAAAATTTCAACCACATAATCTAGTGAGTTCCAACTGAAATGCGTATTGGGCAATCTTCAATCCAATTCTCTGTTATTGAATACTACGATTGATTTTCACGTGCATATTTCAGACAGTACTGATAAGATCATTTTATTTATTGATAAAATACTCAAAAACAAAAATAAAAAACAACGACTATAATTCTTATCTCGGACTCAAATAGCGAAAGTGTAGTGATTTAGTCATTTTAATTTTTTTCAATGATATCTGAGAATACATCAGCTTATTCTAGAAGCTCTCTGACCAGTTTAAGGATACATGCCTTATAGTAACACTAATTCAGCTGTTTACCATTGGTTGAGACCTTCAATGTTTAGCCCACTTATATATAAGCGAAGGTGTATTTAATCACATGAATTTGGGATCTAGTGTAGTTTAGTAGTTCCCTAGTTTAGTAACCAGTATTGAGTTTCTAAAATGAGGGAAGGTTTGGCATAGGGCTAGCGACACTACCCAGGAAAATCAGCCCGACCGTTACAGGAACTTGGACGCACAACAGAAATATAAAAGCAAACTTATTCTTCGCTGGAGTCGGAGAGACAAGGACTGCTGAAAGACTTCGGAAAGCCAGTCAGTCAATGTGTCTTCTTTCGATGTGAACAAAAATAAGCATGTGTGTGTGGAATGTTCATACAATGTACAAATCTGGGAAGACTGCTCAAGTTTTCAGAGAAATGTGGAGATACGGCATCGAATTTCCGGGAATCTGCGAGAACATGTAGAATGGATGTGGACCAAAGAGGTAGCAACCTACTCTGGTCACGCAGACGCACATTTAGGGAGTGGCTATCATGATGTCACCAACAGCATTTGAAACTCTTTCGCAGCGGGAACCACTCTCATCCAGGGTGTAATGACAGAAAGATTCAGCTCGAAAAGAAGGAGGGAACGTCACAATTATCCAATACTACGCTCCTATAAACAACGTAGATCAAAGGAAGAAGGAATATTTCTATTGATAACTTGGAACAGTAATGCTTCAGATCACAAATGGTGACATCAAAATCCTAATGCGTGTTACGAATACAATCACTATTAGGAGCAGACAGACCTTCGTCACTCTGCAGTCAGTGCGGAAATTCGCTGTACTCAGCATGAGGTACAAGATCCAGATCTCCAACACAGATGTCAAACCAATGGTTTTATGTACTTCAGAGATTTGGTGCTTGCGTTGTTTACAGCATTTCAAACAGGCTGACACATATTTTTACCGGGGGATTATCGAGAAATATTCGGCATTAAATTAGTTAATTAAGAAATGCTAAGAACAAAAGATAGTCAGTGAATGGCATTTATAATGTTGCTGACTTAATGTAGAATTATTTTAAGTTTTCACTGTAAAAAGCCAAGGATCAAAGTCGACTGTTTTTCATCTTAAAGTCTAATATGGTTTTTGAAAAAGGGTATGAGTCTGTGTAGTTTCGTCAACCACTTAATCACTCTAAAATAGGGGAGGTATTACTGACCAGGTGATATTTACTGATTTTAGTCGAACTGATTTGATGCTTAATAAGAAGTTAAATTAACTATCACATCAAGTATCCTGAATTAGTTTTCTAAAGTTTGGTTTGTAAGGGTTTGTTATGTTTTTAGGAGTTGATCACGGACTGATATCAGTTAGAGAACCATTGAAAACCAGGGAGTACTGGACAGCCGCTGTTTCATCCTAGTTTGGGAATCATCGGCAGTGCGTACCCACCCTGGGTTCGAATCCCAGTGGGTGCGTACTGCCGATGATTCCCAAACTAGGATGAAACAGCGGCTGTCCAGTACTCCCTGGTTTTCAATGGTTCTCTAACTGATATCAATCCTGATTTAGACTTATTGTTTAGGCGTGAGTGGTACTAAATGGTTGTCTAGAATTCCATTTGTGGAGTGGAGTTCAAACCTGTGTTAACCCGGCGGGAAATAAGGCATATTACAGACCAATTATTTAAAGTTCCATACTGGTGCACACTCCTTTTAGCATTCTTTTATTCCGTTTTTTCTGCACGCCACTTTATTAATCATATCTATTATTTGAGGACACCATCCTAAAGTAATGAGATTGTCTCATTGAAAGTGGAAGATATGGAAAGGCTAGCTGTCTTTTATCACAAATGTTTACGTTCTGTTTTCCTTGCTAAGAGTGGTATGATATGGTAAACAGCATTGAGGTTAGGCAAACAGTACCGGGTAAGGAGAGAATGTCAGTCACTGAGGTCACGAAGCTACATAAACTGAGATAGCAGGGGCATCTGTTGTACATGCCAAACCACTGCCTTCCTCAACAAGCAATGTTGGCTGACATGCTACTGAGAAGGAGAAGAATTAGGTTTGGTCAAATCATAACCTAGAATCCCTTCATGAAGTCTTCGACTATTGGTTTCAGTTACATAGGGAGGTATAGACTGCTTGTTAGGAGGACTTCGTGGGGCTAAGAAACACAATATCTGGAGATTGTTGGTGATATGGCTGAAAATCTTCCTCTGTGGTAGAGATCCACTCTCTCTGTTTGGGATCTCCCATATCGATTAGACCCTCATGTTTTTCCGAATCCGAATATTCTTACTTCCTGCAAACATTTTTTCTCATTATTGTTCCTTTCAATAGCTTTTGTCTCTACTTTTGTGTACTGTATGGAATGCAGCAACTTTAACCGGTGCATTTCTGTACCAAGTTGTATGGTGGAACTCAGTCAGTCATTCAGTTGAACTTCTCATTAAAATAGTCGTCTTCAGTGGAGTACTGTCCATTTAGTTCATATAAATATTTTAAGTTAACAGGTTTTCACTTGTAATTATTTAGGTCTCGTTAGTTACTGGAGTGACATACTTTAACAGAATAACATTATTGATCATTATTTTCAATGCATAGCAAAATACTCAACGTAATCAGAAAAAACCGGTAATAAGCCTACACATTCAAACAAAAATAATTCTAATTTAAACTGTGGAGGGAGGCCAATTTCAATAACTGACATATTTAGCTAGCGGAAAAATGCATTTCACTTATTCAAAAAAAAAAAGAAAACTGACCTCTTGAACATTTACATTTGCTTTAGCTGAAGTTTCCATATACGGTATATTCCAGTGTCGTGCTGTCCTTAGAGCTAATTCTGCTGAGACTTGTCTTTCATCAGTTAAATCTGCTTTATTGCCAACAAGTACACGTGGAGGACACCCTGATGGTCGAACAATTAAAAATCTTTCTCTGTATGAAAAGATAAAGGGAATGATAATTCATACATTTAAAATTAAAACAGCACTGCATCAGCTATGCATATTGTCTGAGGTTCGATCCTAGGCCAATGTACTTCTAGCCCTTGCCTCGCTGGTGGTAGTAAGCTCGGTAAAGAGAGGGGGGACTGGCGTGAAACTAGCAACCTCACACTGTAAAAAAGAATAAAAACCAGCGCTATTGAAACTTCAGCTCAAAAAGCTTGAAACCATCTGTTCCATCTGGAACGTAGAAGAATAAAATGAATGTAATAATATTTATATACAATGATTAAATAAATTTGAACAATAAACTATTTTAAGTGATGGATAGTTATTCGTAGAAGTAATGGTCTAGTTGTTAAGCCTCTGATGATACCACATTCCAGGAGATTCACAAAGGAAAACTCAGAGGAGTCTTTGCAGTCAATACAGTGATAAGACAAGGCTGTCTGCTCTCACCAGTGATATTCCTAATTGTGATTGACTAGACTGTGCAGCGTACCATGAGGAGACAGATGACAGACATTCGCTGGAGTAACGAGAAGACCATAGAAAGTTAGGGCTTCGAGGATGATTTATGTCTGATATCACAGAAACTAAAAGATCTGCAGGTTAAAGCCAAAAATCTGGAAAATGAGGCAGGCAGCGAAGACAAGACTTCAAGAGAACTTACCTAACTGATGAAGATAGGCGCCAAATCATCATCTACGGGATGAATCTAGAAGAAGTCACCACGTTCACTCAACAGACGTAGATAGTATCATTTCATCTGCAGGCAACACAAGATGAGGATGTCACCGACAGGGTCGTAAAAGCAAGCATGACCTTCATCACTCTGTAATCACTGTGGAAATCAACCACACTCAGCATAAGGAACAAGATTTGGATTTTCGACACTAATCTCAGTAAGCTCTTCTATATAGTTCAGAGACTTGGCAAATGCATCAAGAAAAGCATTCTCAGCAGGTCATTGTAGACTTTCATCTACAGGTGCCTCCGATGCATAATGATGACATGATCGACCAGAAGGGATAAGCAAAGAGGATTTTCGACAAAAAGCCAACCAAAAGTCTTTCGCCCAACAGAAATGTTGACAAAAATGGAGATAGATTAAACACACGGTGAAGAGACTTTGAGTGACATCACGTGGAAAGCAGGCAATCAAGTGGAATTCGACGAGGGGGCAAGGAGTTGGGCGTCTTAGGGCGATACCAAGTAAATATTTTGAGGATGAAATGAGCACTTGTGCAGCCAGATGAGAGAGACTTCAGAGAACGGTATGGAATATCTGTGCGCTACTGAGGCCTTATGTTCCACTCATGAACCAAGAGAATTATAATAAATTTGGCTAGTGACGAATCAGTTCATGAGAACAAGCTTAGGTACTTTTTGCTTTACATGAAGTTCAGTATGCTCTAAGAAGAAAGTGAAGTCATAAATTCTTTTCTCTAATGTGAATGTATTAGTTTCAGTTAGACTGGTCATGATAAATCTATTTGTGCTCTCTGAGTTGTGAGTAAATCAATACCTTTGTGAGATAAACATTTGTAAACTATCAAGAGATCTATGATACTTATGTGCCTCAAAATTCTAGAAGTGGAAGAAAAAATTTCAGATGTGACGAGTCTTGTGATTGTGTCAAATGACCCATCTTAAAGTGAATTTATCAGTTCAGAAGACCGAAATTTCACCTAGATTATTCGATTCCGATTACATTTGTATGTTTACCTGATTTAGTTCGTCAACATATGCATCTTATCGGGCTCAACACCACCTGCTAGTTTGGTGGTGGAGCAAGGGAGAACGAAGAGTCGTTCATTCTTAAACATTACAACATGTAATAGACTATAAAGATGTGGTCTCCGATGCGTCTTTTAAGTAGTATTTACGAGATTAGAGAGAATTTATTAGAAAAAAAGCGACGACATTAGGTCTGTGTAGTGAAAGCCTTGAAAATAGATGATGATAATAATAAAAAGTCATAATTTTGCTTATAAAAACAATGCGTGCAGTCCCTTCTGTTACCTTGGATCTAATTTGCAATATATTTTTTCATTTCATTTGTGTTCCAGGTGTATTGCAGGACTCCAGGCTTTAAGATTTGAAGTCTCAGTAGCGCTGGTGTTGTTTTCATGGGTATGTGGAGTTGTTAGCTTCACGCCCAGCCTTCTCTCTTTACTGAGCTTACTACCGGCTAAACGAGGCATAAGAACACGTAAACCGGGAATCGAATTCAAACCACACTCAAGATTGGTAACCGTTCTATCAATGAACTATCAACTCAGTTTGTCAAAAAAGGGTATATAATATAAAATAAATGTTTGTTCTTTAACGTGTAGAGTCAAGATGACTAAATGCTGCTTCAATGACAACAGTCGACGAAGTAACTCAAAGGCCCCAATTCTGATAAAGTTAACCAAAATCTGTCCTTTTCAAAAGGATGGTAACTGACGTAGAACGGTTCAGGAAGAATGCACGATAACTTTCAATGCATCCTTGTTATCAGCTCTAGTTAGTCGGAATAAATAAACCCAGAAAGGGGAATAACAAAGTTAACAAGTATTTAGATTATTCGTACACTGACGAATGACTATAGAAAATTGAACAGAGATTATCATTTCAAGTTGTAACAGTTTTGGATAACCTCGAAATTGTATCAGTAGACATATCTTCTTTACCTAACACTGTGTCTAATCTCAGCATTACTTAAAACGATACACGACCTAACAAATTCATATATATTCATATATTCTCTACTTTTAACATTCATGTCACACAGCCGTAGAGTAGGACAGGGTAGATTTCCTCTCAGCATATGAGTCTTTCGATAACTAACTAGATTACTCACCAATGCAAATTAGTGAATGCTAAGCGTCAGGTTACTTCAGTGAATAGTCTTGAAGGGTTTATATAATTTCTCAGCTATATGAAATAGACAGCACGAATAAAATTCACTCATAAAATCCTATTTTCTTGTCAAAACTTAATATTCTGCATTCTCAAAGGTCTTTACTTTATCGACTTTGTATTAGTTAAACAAAATCCTTCATTAAGTTTCGGTTTAATACGTATTTCTCTTAGGTCTTATCAGTCTCCCGACCTACTGATAAGACATTTTTTTACATTCACCTTTGTATGTGAAAGATGAAAGTGATCTTTGAGTTCTTCAAATTATTTGATTCGTATTTTTTACTGAAAAGTTTAAATCCTATTAACTGTTTTATGTATCTAAGATCTCATATGGTCTGATTTTGTACACTTATCTAATGAAAGTTTGAGCTGACAGATGAAAATCAAATTTCGTGGCAATGAATAGAAAAACACTTACAGAAGAGCATCAACAGCTTTGAAAGACTCCATGTCAGTCAGTGAAAAAACTACGATAAAGCCATCACCGCTTCGATAGACTGTATCCGTTACACCAGCAAAAGATTCTTGACCTAAATGTGAATAATAAAATATAATTAAAGTTAGATTATATTCATTGAGTAACATAATGTTCAGTCCAATAAAATCATACAGTTTGTCATCACTTTAAACCTTCCTTGGTAAATTTTGTTTTGACACCATAGCAGATGTACTATTACCTCTGTTATTTGGTTTAGTGGTCTTCATTGTTACTTTGACCTTGAGTATGTCCTTTAAACTTGACCTGAGTCTATTTTCTTACCTCTTACCTCTTTATTAATTTCATATATATTCCTATGACAAGTCCGTGTGTGATCAGATTGTTCGAAATGTGTTGCGCAAATACATTACACGATTCAGACAAATTACGTCTTCTTATTGCTTTATCTAAATTCATACAGTTTCAAGGTTAATCACGAACTGATATCAGTTAGGGGGAAACACTGAAAACCAGGGAACACAGGAAAGCTGCTTCATCCTAGTTTGGGTCTCTTTGATACTACGTGACGGTGGCACAGCGGTTAGGACACTCGTCGACCATGCACATGGTCCGGGGTTCGATCACCGGCTGACGCACACCTGATATCAATTGTCGGCCTGCAAAATTTGGGCTATCGATATCACATGCTGAAAATTCCATACTTGCACTAAAATACTGTGTGGAATCAAGCTATGATAAAATAAAATAAATAAATAAATAAAAATAACCCTACTGCTAGGAATCGAGACCAGGACCTTCAGATGACAAGATAAACTTGTTCTTCATTCAGGAACTTGAACGAAATACATTATAATATTTTTGTACATCAGTCCTGATAGAATATAGCGGCAAGGCACTGTATGAATGAAACTCAGGCACATTTATATGTATATATTTTATGTTAACTGAAGACATGTCTGGTGAAAAGAATGCCTATACTGGTCATACCAACAGAAAGTCGTCAGATGCTGTGTCAGTGGACGTGAACATTGAACGTTTGTTTATTGGAACTGGCAGCCATTGGTGGGCAACTCGAAGGCGCGAATGGTACGATCGCGTGCAAGTTGGAAGAAGGCGGAAAGAACACGAATAAAAACTTTGTATTTTGTCTTGCTTTAATTGCCAAACAATATAAACTCGTTCAAAGAATACAGGTGTTTTGGATTTAAAGTTTGGATAAATACATAGTCATTATCGGTTCAAATTGCCTTCGTTACAATAGGAACTTAGGGCTAAGTTCCTTGACAGCTGTGTTCTCAGTATTCTGCAATATACTTTATTGTAATTCTAAAAGTGTTAGAAATCACTTGTTACAGATTCTTTATATAATGAGGTTTCATAGCAGAACCTATGGGCTGAAACTCGAAAACACTACGCTTCACTGTGATCATCCCTAAAAATAGTATTTTTTGACTTAAAAATAGATTAGTTAATCTACACTACATTTAACTTATTAGAAATTCGCGCCACATAATGCAATTAGTTTCCAAGAGTTTACCTCAACCCTAGAAACTGGTAAACTGAATTTTTCGAATATAATCTTTTTTTCCAATTGATCTCTTTATGTTTAAACACTGAAATGAATTTAAACTATCCGATCAGATCATGTGGTAAGAGAATTAAATAAATTTTTAAAAAGATATTAGTTAAACGTAATCAATAATCAATACAGGTGACTAGACTTATTGAATATATATATGTAGAAGCTTCGTGCTCAAAAGTGAATCGGCTGGTATACTTCAAAGAAGCATACTGCATACATAAAATAAGAGAAAAGTAATGCAATATAACAAACAGTGAATTCTGTTTCTATACTAGAAGTTGAACTATGACACATTCTCATTTAAACTGATTTCAGGAAGATGTGGACATGGTTTATTAACAATAATAGGGGTAGTCAAGTAAAGAAGAGTCTCAAGTATGATCACGAATTGAGTTCAGTGAAAGAATCATTGTAAACCACCAAGGAGTACTGAATAGATGTTTCGTCGTTGTTTAGGACTCGTTAGCAACACGCACATATGGTCACCCATGTCTTATACTCTGTAGTATTCAAAAGAGTTCAAACACACACACTGTAGCACTATTCCAGTGTTGAAGAGAATGGAGACAAAATACCTACTAACCATTTTCAAAAGGAGTGAATATCCTCACAATTTTATCAAAAAGTGTTTGAAACTCGAATCATAACACCAACAACAGACCACCATTAAAGACCACAAGAAAATTCATCCTGCAATATATATTTAAAAAAATATCTCTGAAATAACAGCTAGAGTATTAAGATTGTTTGAAATAGATATAGCACACAAGCCAGCCAGCCAGCCAGCCAGTTAGCCAGCCAGCATAATCACTTCATTTGACATTGTGCAAACAAAAGATCGAACAGAAAAAGAAGATAAAATTAATAACATTTACAAAATAAAGTGTATGAACTACAATCAACACTACATCTGTTAAAAATGGGCGTCCCCTTCGAATCTAAATCCAAGAACACAAATTGGCTGTAAAAAGACATGGTATATATTCTTTCGTATCAATGCATGTCAGTAACTATGGTCACCAATTTATTTGGGATAATGTAGAAATTTTAAATAGAAGAAAGACCAAAAATGCCACAGAATTCCTAGAATCCTGGTACTCAAGTGAACCAGCAATCAACAAACACATTATTATAGACCAAATTTATCAGCTAATAAAAAGTAAATCACATAACAAGAAAGTTCAAATTCCATGTCAATAAAAATGATCAATAGAGAGGTAAATTAACAACCCGTCACGACAGTGGTTGCCAAGAGAAACAGTTACATCATTCAAGGAGTCCGTTTTATACTAAAATCTGCACTGAAGATGTTCTCTAGAAGGGGGATGACGAAAGCTTCGCAATTAAATTAACCAGCTTAGAGAACACAACTAATTCAATATCATCCACCTGAGCTACAAATCTTCTCCGGTATTCAATATTTCTCGAAATGAACTCAGTTCATGATTAGACTATTTTAGTTTTCTTAAATTTATTTTTTATCCCTTCACGTTCCCAGTGGAACACAGGGCTTCAAGCTACAGGCTTGAAGTTTCTGTAGCAGTGTTTATTTTTACAGGATGGAGTTGCTAGCCTCATGTCTAACCTTTCCTCTTTACCAGCTTTTATTTCTGGCTTAGCGAGGTGAAGGAGGGCGTCGGCAGGGGATCAAATCCCCGACCATGTGCATGTTCGGTGGGCGTCCTAACCGCCATGCCACCGACGCATCAATCAAATAATTCCCTGTAAATCAACACTTGGAAATAAAGAAAAATAATAAGAGTTTTAAAATGATTTCGGACAACAAACTGTTTGTTTGTTCAAAAATTTAAATTCCTTTTTTTTATATCCAACAAATCTTAACTTCACCTTAAGAGTTCGTCTACTACATATTGCTGAGGCTGGCTATTGGGATCTACATTAAGAAACCCAACTTATGTATCCAAAAGAAAATGTTGTTTCAGACACTGTCCTTACTTTGGCCATCAGGGTTATAATGATCCTCAATTTGTTGTGGAAATTTCCTTAATTTCACCTGATATTCTATTTGCTATTACATTTTTGTGCTTATTATTATTATTTCTTGGGCTGTGATTTCATTAATCTTAACAAATCGATAGCATTTAAAAACACCGGTATTGTTAATGACAACTATTCTAGAATATTCTATCTATATAAACATATGTATACATATGTAATTGTAGATACAGAAGAGAAAATTGTCGAAAAGCATATTCTTTGCTCAATATTTTTCCCTAAATTATGTATGTGTTTAACGTATAAAAATGGCCGTTAAATAGTGTTCGTTTGAAAATGTTTTAACAAGTTTTTCACTGCAAGAGACTTTTGGTTTATACTTTGAGTAGGGATCAAAATGTGACAAAAAATATCTACATCAGTTGTGACTTGATTAAATATATGCTTCCCAAAGAGGAGTCAGAGATCTGTCTCTCTAAGAAGTAAAAGTTTACATGTACAACCAAGGTTTGAGTCTCCTATGCGTGTAGAACATGTCACACACCATCGTATACGACATCCGAATCCTGTTTGTTAGGGTTTTAAAGAGTGTACACAAAAAAGTCACAAAATTAATGCGATAGAGCTGTGTAAAATTTTAACTTACTATCAGTCAGAGTTATTCCCGAGACAGTTTGCTATAGTTAATTTCATTATAAAGTTTTTTACTCTATACCAGGAGAAGCATATGAAAGCTGATATAAAGTAACTACGGGAACTGATGCAACAGTAACGGTTAGACAGCAGTCACGTTGTTTAAACATCTTGCGATTATCCTCTGATTTAGGTTAAATAAGCTTTCTTAGGAAGGTAGTGAAAGACTTCCTCTCTATAGTACGATTTATTTTTAGGCGGGTTATATCACTAGACTGACGTTACAATAGTATTATCCTGTAACAGCGAATTCTGATCTTTGCTTTGTTACTATTGTCATTATTCCCTTGGGTTTTGAGTCAAACACAGAACTTCAGGAGCACATCTCCATTTAACGATTGCCCACAACCATTCATTTCCTTCTCACACGATCCTTTTCATGACGTTCTCAGACAACCACCTCTTTGTTTCCCATTCGGGTTCTACTAGAGAGCACATGATGTCACTTAATGGCCTCTTTGGAGCATGTCTAATCTATCCCCACTTTCTTCCGCATGTTTGTTCAGCGATAGGCTCTTGTTTGGTTTGTTGCCAGAGTTTTCCATTACTTATTCTTCCCGGCAAGCTGACATATTTTCGCCAGTTGAAGTGAAGGCAGTTGCTGATAAAATTCTGCAGCCTGTTGTAAATACTTTTTTCTGACACGCCAACTCTTTGAATCACTGAGAAGAACTGAGTTGACATTACGGTTGAAAATCTGAATCTTGTTCTTTATGCTGGGTGTAGAAGACTTTCACAAGGAATTTAGAGTAATGAAGGTCTATCTTGTTTCCCTCATTTACTCCCGTCTAGCTTTCAAGTCCTCATCCAAACCGTCAGTAGCTGAAACGATGACGCCCAGATGAGTCAATGAGGTGACT